AGACTTCTATGGAAATGTATTCAAACAAGTACGTGATTGTATAACGGTGGGACGACCGAGTGACCGGCGACCAACGACCAACATGATTCATATATGAATAGTTTTTTGCTTTCAGATATGCGACCCTAATCCAACGTCGATTTGGGATTTCGCTTATGGCGTTTCGAATGTCTCGCGCGATGCATCCTTAGTTTCTCTACCGGAGGCCACTGCACGTAGTAGGTGCTGAAAGTTTTAGCGAACCAGGTCACTTACTCACTCAAGCTTGCGATTCAGATTCACACTGGAAACGTTAAATCTGGGAAATACTGAACTACATCCGTCACGATTACAGATCTGAGTTTGATTATCTCTTGGAATGTTAGCTCTACATCCTTCCAGGTTCTGGCTGTCCTTGGGCACAACTGAGATTGAAAGAGAAGGCAAATTTAAGGAGCTTCTGGAGCAACGTTCATTATGGACCATGGAATGCAGAGTCTGCATTTCTGAGGCACTGTAAGCTGTCCATCTTAATTCTTTAGAATTTAGTCTAATCTTCACCTTTTCAGGGAGGACATAAGGTCGTATCACTTCTACAGAGGGAGTCTGATTCCTTATAGGGTAAGTACGTATTGCTTGAAAAATTAATATTCATTTTACTTTTCAGGAAATTCGCGATGGGGAAGTAGGGCTCGGACGTAAGGAGAAGAAGGCGATGACTCAAGAGCAATGGGCGGAAGCTTTACGTGCTTAATAAGGTCGTCGAAAGTCTAGGACTTTGGCATCTTTTCACCTTGGGTTTTGTCGTGATTTCCTGCTAGGTTTTCTTTTGCACCTTTTTAGATCTCATTGCACTTGTTATAATCCTTTGTTGCTATTCACTAAAAGTTATAGCGCTTAGTCGTTCCTAATTAAATCACGTAAACACTGTGCTGTTTCATTTACATATGCCTCATTCATTACTGGCAACCCATCTGAATTGCTAAATTTGTGCCGAATCATTTTACTATGCTCACTCACTTACATCTGCCTCACTTACTGCTATTAATACAACTGGACTCTGCTACTTTTTTTGATTCGATTGCTGCTACACTACTCACCGTGCCTCACTGATCACTGGTAATTTACCCGCAACTCTGCTAAGATTTATGCCAATTCAGTTATGTTTTGCTCACTGCACATTCAACTCACTTCTCACTGGTAGCCCGCATGGATTCTGCTAAATTTCTTGATTCGCTTATTGTTATACTCTACTAACTTACTTACATTGGCTCACTAATTACTAGTAATCCACTTGAACACTGCTGAAATTTATGCTGATTCACTAGTTTATCTGCTGACCTACATCATATGTCCCACTTATTACTAGTGACCAAATCTATCTACTAAACTTTATAAATTACGTCACTTTGATGATTTTGCATGTTGTTCTTATCAAAAATTGGCCCGCCATGTTATACACAATGTACATTCTCGTAAAGATAAATATTTAGTTTTGTTTCTGTTGTTGCACATAATAGAATATGGTACAAATTATCAATTGAAGGCCCTGCGCAAGTTCTTTATTTCTGCAAGCCGATCCGTAGGGTTTCATCGATAGTACGGGAAAGGACTTGGTTGG